CCTACAGTACAACCTATTTTTAAAAAGGCCGCATGCTCAAGCATTGAACCAGCCCCCAGAATAAAATGAAAAATTACTGACAATTATAACCATTGCAAACAGCAGAAGAGCATATATTTATGGAAATGTTTTTCTTAGTTACAGTATGAATAAGCGATATTTTTCCTTCTAAGAAAACTCACTAAGTTCTTGCTTGAAACAAAACCAAAATGTGGTGCTTCACGAATATATTCTTCCATTGTTGCAAGAAAAGAGGGAGGCGGCTGCATAAAAGATAACCCAAAACTTTAAGCAAAATGAGGAGAAAACTTTTGAAACTAGAAAAAAAGTTAATAACAACGAAGCCAGAACCTGTCTTAAAGTCGGAAACTGAAAATTTCTGGCAAGCTCCAGATTTTTACAAAAATCGTAGAAATTAGAAAGACTTTCTGCCTGTTAAAACAAACTTAGTGAGTTTGCTAGTATCATCGATAGCTTCCATTTACTAGATAATTCTTTTTAATAAAAAATGAATTTAAACCTGTTGTCCAGCCTTTTTATATATCTCAACTGCTTTCAGAGCATCATACTTAGACATCTCAAAAAACTACAAAAATTTAAAAGAATGATTGTAGTCGCAAATAACGCTTCTTTGAACACTAGGTGAAAATAATGTTGAGAATATTTAGGGAGCACTTATACCATGTCAACAAGATTGATGATCCCATCATTGATGCCACAATAGATTTTGAAGCTCTCTTTTAAAACCTGATAGAAAAATGAAAAAAAATCCATTTATAAGATTTTCATTTAAATTCGTGGAAACATGTGACTCGTAGATTCAATTATGGTTATGACATATGCAAAAATTAGAACGTGCAAAAATATAGCTGATAGTATCATACGTTTCTTCTAGGGATAAGAATAATACTTTTCACTAAGTGGTTGTTTGGTAAATGTTATTCTGGGTGTACTTTAAGAGAATGCAAAACTTCTGAGAATCCAAGTGTTTGTTTGGAGAAGAAATAAATTCATTGTAAAATTTCAATACATTTGAAATTCCTTCTTTAAATCAACTTTAATGTATAGTTTCAATTAATATGGGTGAATCCCAAATATAACACTTGCGTAAAATATTAGCCACGATCGCTTGTTGCCCAATATCGCTCATTGCTTCCGCCAACTGTGTTGTCAACCACTCATTGGCGGCTGCCTGCTGAAGGCCTCCACTGCTACCAATTGGGATTTATATTGCATTTGTATTGTACATCCAAAGAGAAAAAAATAAATTCATGTATTTTCACAGGCACGCACACACACACAAATGTGGACAATTTAAAGACAGTTAAAGGTCTAAATTATAATATGACGCATTATCTATGAGATACATAACAAGCTTAAGGCTCTATTTCTTCTTTAAAACCAAAAGAAATTAAATTAAAATATACTACTAAAAATTGTTTGTATAATAGCTAATAAAAATTGATTCCAACCCAAATGTCTATAAATATGCTATCTCATTTGAAAAGCATCATATCAGTAAGTTTTCAAGCTTTAGAAATTTTTGAAGCGACAACTTTTTTTGAAACGCTTGCTTGTTCTGATTTCAAATGCCACATCAAATTTTAAATTTAAAAAGAATAATAAAAATTCAGTGAACCTTATGCTACATTTCTCCATTGCTTCACCATGACCACTTACCCTAGGAATTCTAACTAATCGTATCCCATATCTCAATAAACAGCATTCGAATTTACATGTACAATAAACAGCATTCGAATTTACATGTAACAAACATATTTGATAACTTTCCATCCAACATAATATTAACATGTTATGGGCTTCATAAGTTCTGTAGAAGATATAATCAAAGACTAAATCATACCAATGCCAGGGCATATTGAATGAGATAATTTCCGCATGCTGCTCCTTCAGGCTACAATAAAGAAAAAATGGAGGCAGGAAATTCCCTTAGCTCAGTAGAAAGAAAACAACCATAATGTTATGTAAAGTATCACAAATTCATATCATCCATGAGATTCTTTTTGTAAAATCCACAAATTGACACAGTGAGCCATTACCTGACATCCAACAAGACGGCACAGAAGTTGCTGTAGAGCAGGCATCTGCTCCAGTAGATCCGGACAACCTAAAGTTCTTGTTCTGCTATGTCCCTGTTTTTATATGCAAGAAAAAGGAGGATATACATAAATACCGCCCAATTCCTATCTTTTTACATATCAAACACCTGAACTTTAATTTTTACAAACATACCACCTTACATATGCATGAAAAGGTGATCTTCACAATTTTGAAGGTAAAATGGTGGCATATTTTATATGATGTGAAAGATTTAGGTGGCATAAATGTAATAAATCAAAGTTTAGGTGTTAGATATGTAAATATATAAGAATTGTGTGGTATATATGTAAATGCCCCCACAAAAAATGCAGGGTTAAATATCAACTTTGTATAAAGATTAAAATCTAAACTCATGCATTGGATACATTAGATACCTTGGAAGCACCTTGCCCATTTCTTACCAACCGCTCAGCTTCTATGTCATATTTTAAGATTCTAAAACACTCGAGCCTTTCTTCTATAAAGGATGCATATGTTCGAACCCAAGCAGAGCAATCCCAAGCTAATTCCAAAAATGGAAACAAAAAACTTGAGAACTTTGAATGATGAAAAGTCAAGATTTTCACATGTGACATACATATGAGGTGCTCTGCAATGAAAATCCATACCGAGAGGGCTTGAATCATCCTTGAAGTTCAATAATTGCAATACATTTCCTCTCTGAGCATAGCTTAAAAGTTCTTCTTTAAAGGTAGGATCGCCTTCGCGCAATGTCCTGTGAATCACTATCAATGTTTTCAATGCAACCTGTGAAGTGTCATCAACATATTACTTGCTTGTATTGCATATAAAAATGTCCACTATGAAAGCAAAAAAATAAAACATATGAAAATGTGATGAGTGATTATAATAACTTAAAAATATTTTTAAGCTGGGCTTTGAAACCAAAGTTCCTAAGACCTAGAAAGAGTATCCAAATAGCAAAAACATCGGATTATATATGATTTTCTGTATGTCAAACAAACCATGTGAAAAAGGAATTATGTTGAAAGCAATATTTTTTCTCAGGCGTACTTGATAATGCATTCATCACGCTTGGTGTGGTCTTTTCATCAATTCTGTCGAAAGAAATATTTTTTTTCCGGGACAAGAAAATAACTACCTAGTGTTTAAAGGTCTATCACCTCACACCCATTTGCATCAATGGCAAGGGGCTTTGATCGCTTCAAAGGATGAATAAGTTTTTTTTTTTTATAAATGTAATCTTCTATTTGCATCTTCCAATAACCAAAGTCTAACCAGTAAAATTTATTTATCTTGATCTCTCTATTCTTCATTGCCGCCCCACATAGTGGGATCAAGAAGATGTTGTTGTTGTTGTTGTTGTTGTTGTTGTTGTCTCTATCCTTCATTGTTTAGCTTTTTGCACAGCACTTGGAAAATCTCCTCCCTTTTCTCCCTCAATTCGCTTTACATGCTTGTAATGGTGGTATTACTAAATCTTTCTTAAAAGCTCTATTTATAGCGGTAATAAGCAATAGGCCTATGGACATAAAATTATTACAGAATTCCAAAAGATGTTGCAAGATCTTTAAAATCAATTATAAATCCCTCAAAGTCAATAAATAGTCTCTTTAAGACCTTCATATTAATATAAAATCTCCAAATCATTCCCATTGATCGCAAAAAAAAAAAAGGACTGGTCAAATATTTGCATTTAAAAAGGATATTTAACTATATCTTATAAATATTTTATTATGTAAAATCTGGCTCTGTAATTCCAACGATTAAAACAAGTGGCCACAAAGAACTGAGATCACCTATAGTTTTGTAGTTAGCGTCAAGATCAGAGTTGCATCAAACAGAAGAAACATAGGATACGTACCACCCAGTTACGTGTCTTTGCCAGCCTCTTTGCAAGCGTATATATACAATAAGCTAAATCAGCTCTTGGCCGAACAGCGGATGTAGCAGTCAAAATTTCTATATCAGAAAAAATACATTATAAAAAGAAAGTATTAGAACATTATTACAATCACAACATCTAAAAGATCGCAAAATAATTTAAGAACCGGATAAACTAGCAATAGGAAGCTTTATGAGATATCTACAGATCTAGCAGGTAAAAGGAATTACTCAGATATATATATTAGAAAAAGCAATCACGATCAAATAAAATAAAATTATAATTCATCGTAAACCAATCACTTACTTCTCACATGCCTCTCCTTCGGTGGGCATTCCTCATGGTTTGTTGCCTTCACGATGGCAATGTCTAATTCCTTTCGCCATGAAAACAAGCTTATATTGTCAAGATTAGAAAGCAAAGAAACGAAATGGAGAGAGGTAGAGGAGATTTGTACAGACCTTGAATTCGCTATTGACCTTGGCGAGCCCAACCTTTGTAGAATCTTTGAGCGCCCCATAGGCCTTCCGCCATGCGCCCATGCTTTCTTTCTCCCAATTTTTTCTAATCAAAACCCTAATCCTTTGGCGAAAGGGTGGAAGAATATAAGAGGAACAGGGAAAGAAAGGAGATTACTCTTCCAACAAACCTTTTCTCCTCCTTCTAGGACCGTCAAAAATTATCTTAAAATAATTTAATTGAGAGCAAGACTATAAAAATTTATAATTATATAAAATTATAAATTTGCAAGACTATAAAAATTTATAATTATATAAAATTATTAATTTAAAATAGAATAAAAAATATTAATTTATATTTAAATAATTTTTTAATATAAATAATAACTTTTAAATCTTTCACTACCTTTAATATTCTACGACTGTATTACTAGGATTATCAAAATAGTTCATTATTCGTAAACAACTCGTTTCCGGCTCGATAAACAAACAAGTCAAATATAAAAAAAATATTTGAGCTCGATATATAAACAAGTCAAACACAAATAATGATATTTTTTAACAAATCGAGTCTGAGCTCGCTCAAGCTCAGCTTGTTCACACCTCTAACGGTTGCATGTATAATTAGGGTTATCAAAATGATTTTTTGTTAGCAAACAACTCGTGTTCGGCTTGCTAAGCAAACGAGTCGAATACGAATAAATTTTTTTTTATTTTTGTTTGAAATGAAACGAGTCGGGCACCAACATTATTTTTTTATGAACTAACAAA